TGGGGGGGGGGGGGTTTGATTCTCTGTGTAATAAGCGGTTTCAAGTGATTTTGCAATGTAATCCTGAATTATATGAATCTTCACTATATCGTGTAGTACGCGGATGGATTTATTGAAGATGATGCGGAGGAATTTATTTTGGATCCTTTGAATCTTTTTAATATGTAACTTCGCTGCTGCAGTCCAGATTTGCTGGCCGTATGTTATTATCAGCCTAACGCACATCTTATATAGGTTAGTTTAATATTTGTTTTGAGGTTGTAGTTTCTATGGAATAGCAGGTATAGTCTTCTGAGTGCGGGAAAAGTTAGATTTGCTCTTTTGGTAGTCACTGGGGCCAAGATACCTTGGGGAACCATAAGAGACTAAGAGAGATGTGATCTGCGATGGAAAAACTTGATTTGTCGGTCTGGATCTCTTATTTGTGAAGACAATGGCTTGCGTTTTGACTGGGCTGATTTTCCAGTTTGTGAAGTAATCTTGGAGTCAAACAAGGTGTGCTTGAATATACTTGATTGCATTTTTGTAACTTCATGAGGCGAAGATGGCGGTATCATCTCCGTACACCGTGCTAAGTGGGAATTTTGAGTGCATGGAATGTCGTTTATGTAAATTATAAATAGCAGAGGGCCGAATATGGAACCTTGTGATACGCCCGCAGTAACGCTTTTGATAATTGATAAGGTACCGTTTACTGAAACATAGAAGGTCCTGTTTTGCAGGTAACTGGCTATCAGTCTGAGAAGAGGTGGAGTATTTATTCTTTGCAGTCTCACTAAAAAGACGCTGTGCCAGACTGAGGCTTTTTTTAAATCTAAGATAATACGTTGTGTTACTCTGTTTTTGTTTATCTTTAGGGTGATGTGTTTGTCTTTAGGGTGATAACTCTGTAGCTGCTGTAGCTAGAAGAATATGTAGCTATGAATGATTTTTTTTTTAAACCAAACTACTGGGAAATGATTATGTTCCTGTTGCTAACATGAGTTAATAAATGGGTGATGATAATTTTTTGATGGTACTTAGGATATTAGGATATATAGGATATTAGGATGGTACTTAAATAATTTGCTGATGGTACTTAGGAGGTTGATTAATTTGTAGCTTTTAACGGCTATTGCGAGTTTTCCCTGCTTGGGGATTGGGATTACCTTGGCGGTTTTCCATGTCGTAGGAAAATAAGAAAGTTTAAAGGCAGGCTTTGAAAATGTAACATATTTGTACTATGGATTTAATTAGAAGTTTTTTGAGTGCTGTTGTGGTGATTTTGTCTGGTCCTTCGGCCTTGTTGAGGAGAATTTTTTAATTGTCTTATCCATATGTTTATCTGTTGAGGAATGCAGTTTAAACTGCTATCGTCCATGGTGGGATTTGTGGGTGATAAGATTACAAGTCTTTCGATATCGTGCTCGATAGGAGAAGTTGTGTTTCATAGAGAGTTATGTTGTATTTTTTCGAAGTTTACAACCAGGCTTTCGGCTTTTTCTTCGTCTGTATAGTGGAATGTGTGGGATGTAAGATTTTGCAGTTTAAATATCTTGTGTTTTTCGGTGCCGGCAGCCTTGAAAGTCTACTAAAGTGTGTAGTCCATTTTCTTGATGTTTGCAAGCTTGTCCTGCCATATTTGGTTTCGGGCTTCTGCGGATGAGATTTGAGAAAAAGCTTCTATGTAGATTGTGGAAGAGGTAACCAGTTTTTTGGAACTTCCGCCTGTTTATTTCTATTTTTGATGAGGTATTGGAGAACAGGGTTTGCGGAGGAGAATTAATCGTTTGGAGTTTTGGACGTTGCGTTTCGAAAATGTTTGAATTAGCTGGATGAGTGCTTCGTTGTCTATGTCGGCTGTGGTTGTTAATTTCTGGTTTATTTTGAATCTGTTGCAGTTTCTGTCAAATATGTTCCAATCAGTTTATTCGGTTTGATGTTGTCGTCTTGCGTTGTTTTGGATTCTGTGTGAAAGGGCCACCGATAGATGATTTGATGATAAATCATCTATGATGTGGCAATTTTGTGGGAAAGAGACATTTGACAGAAAAATGTCAATGTTGAAAGAGGTTCAGTTTGGTTTTCTATGGATGTAAGTGGAGCTGTGGATAATTTATATGTAATTGTGTAACTCAGAATGACTTTTGAGGATGGAATCATTTCTGTTTCTTTTGGTGTTATTCCATAGACTGTGCTTTGGCGTTGAAGTCACCGCCGATGATGTAGAGTCCTGTTCTTTGCGGCAGATAGAGTCCAGATCGAGGGGGAGATGGTATTTTGATTGAGGAGAGGGGGGGGGAGAATATGTTGCTCCGACCGTTAATTTGGGAGTGGTTTTGATCTTGATGGTAAGTACTTTTATGTTTGAAGTAGCTGGTTGTAGTGTATCTTCCGTAGTAATATCCTTGTGAACAGCTATTAATACTCTTGGTTTCTTCTTAGTGGATAGTGATCCGTCTTGTCTGTATATTTCGTAATTGGGTAATTTGAGAATATCTTTTTAGGTGAGCCAAGTTTCGGTGGTGATTGCAATATCTGCATTACGGTTTATCAAAAATTTGTGAAATTTCTTATTTTTAAATATCTTATTTTTAACATTATGATGGGATTCTTTATGGTTGTTCATTTTCTAATTCTGTCACTATGAATATTATTGCTTGGACTCTTTCTATATTGTTTGTGCATTTCATGTAGTATTTCTGGATAAACGATATAATTTTTAAGAACTGGTCTGTTGCTTTGATATCGTCTAATTGATAGTTTCGGGTTGAGAAAATGTTCGATTTGCTGAAGTTATGGGCTCTTGCATATGATATTCTTTGCCTTGTTTTGAGATTTACCTGAGTCAAGAAAAAAGTGGTGGAGATTTTGTTTGGGATAAAGTATGGGAAGCTCTGTGCTGGGAGGCGCATGTTTGGTAAAAAGTTTTGCACATGTTGGATTATTTCTTTACTGGTAGTCTTTTTGGTCAGAAAAGCCAGTAATGCAGTACACTGGGAATAGTTGGCAGGGTGAGCGTCTTTGCGTGTTGATGGAGTGTCTAGAGTTTTGCTCCAGTATCTGGTATCATGTTATGCGGCGCATTTGACACACTGATTTTTTGTTGCAGTTTGACGACGTGTGACTGTGCGCCTGGCAGCGGAATCGTTGGTTCATGAGATTCATATTTTTCCCAGTATATTTTGACAATCTCGATGAATCTGACATGATTTATTTGTACAAGTATGGTTCCGAACGTGACTCTGTATATAGGATATTTGGTGTGGATTGGTATTTCAACACAGTGTATGGGATTTAAGCTCTGGCATCTAATGTTTTCACTTATTCTGGTTAGCGGGAGTCGAATCAAGCCTTTGAGCACTACGGTCAATATTTTCTCGGAGGTGATAGTATAGGTATGAAAATCAATGCTTCTTTTTTTATACAGATAGCCTTGAATTCTGTAAAATCTTTTATGTCTGTTTTACATTATTTTAATCTGATGTGAATTTGGCTTAGAAGACATTCTGGTATTTTGACTTAAGTGCGTCAAGGAGTTTTAGATGAATTTTAGATCTACCATGAATGTATATTGGCGGAAGTTTGACGTTTTGGGATTTTTTAGTAGGAGGATTTAGATTTGTTTCAGTGTTCGTGTTTGAGATATCGTTTTGTGCTTTCATGTTTTTGGGGCCTAAGTCTGAGAACTCATTAATGACACAATCAGCGAAGACGCTGTAACTGTTTTTCGTAGGGATGTCTGGGTTAATGTGCTCCATGTCTTTGCGACAGGAGATGAATCTGGTAGGGATGTGGCTTTTTTTCTTGATATAGTAACCTTAAGTTGTTCTTCTCTTCGCCACCGTCTATGTGCCTGCAGGTACGCAGTCCGGGTTTGCTATTGAGACTTTTTTGTTTGTAGCGTTGTCTAGTGGTATGTTTTCTTCTTCGGGACTTGGAGTCTTTGTTTGATTTTTTATTTTGCACAGACTTGTTCACTGATCATTGCAGTTGTGAATGAGAAAGCTTGCTCAACTTCCTTGCTCGGAGATTGATCGGAAACGAACTGTGTAACTCAACTGAATGTTCTATGTTGTGTTGGCCTTATGTAAAGCCGACTTAATTGTGTACTTCCCGATCACGTGATTGGGAAGGCATTTCATTTTCTGTCAAGAGGCAGACAAGGTCAGTCCCATAAAGTAATATTCACAATTATCTTATGGGCCTAATGATACTGCCGAGGGATGCGTCCGTCACATTACGTTTTATACGCTTGTTGGACTTGGCTGTAGGGCCAGAGGAACGCGTTCCTTGGCCTGAGTTTTATTCTTATTTTATATTTATTATAGTAAGAGCCGTTGTAGTAAAGAAAGTAAAGACTACCGAGTCTTAGAATCGGTAGTCAGGTATAATTGTAGCAATAAAATTATAGAAAGGACATGAAAGTACAGTTACGGGAAATCCCTGTCGTAGAGAAAATGATAGCTTTGAAAGTTATTATCCCTGGCTCGATGAATTTATTTTTCGCATCACAGTTTATGGCCCCCATATTGGTTCGGTAAGATCGAACAAATAATTTTTTTAAAAATTTCATCTATTTTTAGTAGTACATTCAGTACTATAAAGATGTTAATGTCTATCTAGAAACATTTATTATATAGAAATCTTTCTATTTAAAATTTCTGATCTATTTCTATGTAATAAAAACATACATATAAGAGTAAATTATAATTTTGGTACGTATTTATTTAATTTGAGATAAAAAAAAATATCGTAATCGAAAAAAATTATAGTATATGATATTTATTATATATATTGTTAAAAATCAGTTCTTTAGATGTCCTAATTATAATAATTCAAGTTCGCGAGGATGTACATAGAACGGAATTATACCGTTTTTACTAACGAACCACGCACAGCTTAGGAATATTTAATTGATTCGTACCAGAATTAGGTTAGTAAAGAGAAATGCACTGATTAATGACTGACAGTCTTTAAAAAGAAATCTTTATTAAATTCATTAGGATTTTTATGTGTTCGGTATGAGAGAAGAAGATGTTCTTCTGGCTAAAGGCGGGGTTGGTTTTAAGATAATAAAGTGTCTTTGTACTGTCTGAAATAAATCAAAACTTACTTAGCCAATACTTGACTCTATGCTATCTACCTATGTGCATTCTTCGCAAGCGATGCGGCATAATCTCTACTTGGAAGACTCAAAAAAATGATTTTAAGGAATAAATTATATTTGATGGTATTGATTCTATATTACACGCAGTTTATACAAAACATAAAATTAAACATAAATAACATAATTCATTATTTTTTATAGTTGATGCAAAATGTGAATTTAAAGGTCAATTATATGATTTAAATATAAAATTAAGAGTTATATCTCGGTGTCGGTTTTGTTCTTTCCATAATAGTCGAAGGTTTTCTCTTTACTATTGAATTTCGCGTCCTTCAACAAATTTTGCTGTAATGCCAAACAAAAACTTTGTATATATTTTACTATTATTTAATTTTTTATAGATTAGAAAAAAAAAGCGAACTTCAAAAAATATAACGTAACTGCTCTTTCCCTCAGTTTTTATATTTTTTTGAAGAATATTATAACATATCATATATTATCGACTGCACGGTCGACTCCTTTCCTATTTTTACGGAATAAATTATTGAAATAGTTTTAACCTAATCTATTCTTCATCGTTTGCCAAATTTGTAAGAGAACTTGATCTTTTCTCTGGAATTTTGTTTCATGTTCTTTCATTTTCCTGTTCTTTAAATCTTATGAAAATTTTCTACTTAGTCTTATTGTTCTACAAATTCTCGTATTCTTTTATAGAAATAATTCTAATGTATCTACATATTATACTAATTATCCATACAAATATGATAGTAAAATGGTGATAGAACTGATTGTTCTAGACTCATGATCGTACTGGTGCACGTTCGAATATCGAAATAGATTATATGTCTTGACAATAATTTATTTGCAGTGCAACCGTATATGTGGTCTTACTGAATTCTTTCTTTTTACTTACACGTAGCGGTTGTTCAAAGTCGTACGGAATGTCGTTCAGCGATTTACTTAAAGTACACTTCGAGACTAGCTTCGAGAATAATACTTCGTGAATAATATTTTATAAATAATACGTTGAGAATCATATTTCGAGAATAATTTCGAAACTAAATGATCTGGTTACCCGTGAGTCCGTTTTATATGAATTGGTTAGCTAGCTTTAGCAAATCATATTGGGCTGAAAGTGAATTGCCCCCGGATATTTGGGGAAGGGTCAGGATAGATCGTTATTTAAAAACAACGATTGAAACAGGTTCATGACCGATTTTGATAACAAGCGACTGGATAACAATAACGTAATGCAGCAAGCGTTTAAGATTCCCTAGTGAAGTAAGCGAATAAGCCATTGATCTAAACATGAATTATAAATAAACCTTTTGCATGACCATAAAAGACACGATTGTCAATGGCTGACTAATGGTAGAAAATATTTGGCGTATTCTGAGTGTTTGAGAACGTTTCTATGCGAGAATACCACATGGTCTGATCGCGTGTTCGCTATAGAGACTGTTTATGGATGTCTTCAAGTGACCTAAGCCTCTAGTAGTTTTAATTTATCGGCACACCTTTGACCATCTGGCTGATCTTTGTTCAAAGAACCTAAAATAGTCCTTGACCGTGGCATAAATCAAGGTATTCATTTCCCGAAGATAGGCAAAATGTTTGAACAATGTCGCATTCGATCGACGGTTAATATCTACTGTATGACCCACCTTGGAGCCAAGAAATCTCCCGAAGCTGATAGAAAGGGAAACAAGAGAGCTTCCATCGGCTTGGAAGTTAGAATTCGTACGACGTCCAAACAGCCTAGATCATCCCTCGCGATCCACATTACCATCGAAGGAAAAAACCTTGATATCTCGCGAGAATTATGTTAACAGCTCGTTAACAATTAATTCACATGAAATTCGTTCCGCTTAGACGGCGTGCGAACACTGACGCTAACATTAATAAAATTGTTTTTGTGATTTGTTCCCCGCGCCTAAATATACCTCAAAATTGCAAATATAGTCTGGCATTGCTTTACAGGTCATGCTTCACAAAAGCAGGTCTTCGCTTTAAACATTCCAAGTGGCACTGCATTGTCTCATTGCACTGGAAAAAGTTCCGGGCCTTTTCTCAGAATTATCCATCTCACATTTATATTTTATATTTTATAATAAACTTTTTTTTATAAATTCCTATTAGTGTCTTATTAGTTTATAAATTCCTATTAGTATCAGTATTAGTGTCTCTGATCGGAAAATTTTTGTCAGAGGTTATAATTGAAAGAAAATGTGTTGCTAAAGAAAAAATGAGAGACCTCCCCAATTGATCATGCAGCAATTTTATTGCAGCACCTGAAGATCTCTTTAGTAAGATCTCTTTAGTAAGTAATGTTTGCACCTCACCTTGGCATTATATATCTTGTAAGTAATTCAGTGAACTACTCACATGGTTGTGATCGCGATATAAATTTAAACATATCGCATTAAACGAAATTTACAAAATTTATTTAAAAAACGTAAAATTCTAATGTTATTTTCAAAATAGAATATTCATGAAAATACAATGGTTTCACGAAAACCACGCCATCTGAATATCTTCTCTATTAGTGATAAGATAATCGCTTCTGACATAACTTAAACTGACTGAAGAGACGAATCGAATAAAAAAAAACCATTTTTTAAATATTTTTTAATGTTTTTTTCAAGGTCATTGGCATTTTTTATGTAGGAAACGTGTATTTTTTTTTATTTCATCACGTAGCAGCAGATATGTTTGTGACCTCTAAATGACTGAAACTTATGTTGAACGAGATTCCAGATTAGAATGACAAGTGACAGAAGTGATCTTGAGTGTAAAAAAACACTATTGCTTACTGTATAAAATTCGTTTACTATTAGTTTTCTCAAGGATTTATTCACTGTTAATTTTCTTGCTGTATCGACAAGTGAATCATAATGAGTTATTCAAAGCTCTCTCTAGTGTCTAAGAGAAACTGTTCTAATTTATCAAAAAAAGATGTCCAAAATGTATTTGTTCATTGCTGTCTACATACATAAATATCATTAAAACACTGTGTGAAACTGGTAATGTCGACAGAAAAGATGTGTTAAACGTAAAACCGTTACCTATGAAACGAACCAGTCGAAGAAACGTCATCGTCAAAGTCCATGAAAATTCACACATTAATTTAAAACAATGAAACCAGCGTTAGTGTTTTAAGCGTATTCCAGATACTTCATGTAAAAAAATTTCATCTTTTCCATTTACCTGTACATCAAGCCCTCGATGAAAGAAACTTCGAAAACCGTTTAAATTTTTGTTAAATATACGTCAATATGAAAATGATGAAATATTTTTTACAAAAATATTATTTACCTATGAAGCATCTTTTACAAATCACGATCAATTAAACCTGAGAAATATGCATTATTGATTGAGAATCCACGATGGTTTAGACAGATTGATAGGCAGAAGCCATCTAAATGTTTGGTACAGAATTGTAAGTAATAGAATAAGTAAGTTACACTAAATTTTTGAAAGATGAATTAGGAAATTTATTAGAATCTCGCTCAACACAAGTTTCACAATAATTGAAAAAAAATCTAAGTCATTTGGAAGTTATATCATAAACATATCTGTATTTTTTCATGAGCTACGAGATGGAATAGAAAAAAATACATTTCTTACATAAAAAATTATTAACCTTGAAAAAAAACATTAAAAAATGATATTTTTAAAAAATAGTTCTTTCATCCGTCTTTTCAATCATTTCAAGTTACGTTAAGAACGATTTTCGTATTACTAATAGAGGAAATATTCAGATAGTCTGGTTTTCGTAAAACACCCTGTATAAAACTCCATTCAAAAAGACAACAAACACCGTGAAATTTCGAAAGTATGCCCTTTATCCAATAATTTTGAAAGTCGTAAAGTTTTCTTCCTTCAATAATACAAGTTATTTAGAACTTTTTAATGTCGTCAAATTAAATCCTCGACATACTTGCAAAAATTGATACCATTACGATTCGCTTTAAATACAAAAAAGTATTTATAAGCTTTGATATTTGAAATATCTGTTCTTAATATAAAATTGTCTCGTGAAAAAAAAATATTAAGGAACTTAAATAATTAAGAATTCTATTACATTAATAGCGTCCAAGTACTTTTATTTGTAAATCTCTACAAACAAATCAAATACAGATGATATTTTTGTCAAAATTTTTCATATCCGCAGAACTTTGAAAGAATTTTTCAAAAAATCAGTACATTGCGTACAAAACAGATACATAAGAAACAGAAGCTTTTAACATCTAAAAATTTTAATTTATTGTAATTATATAAAAATAAAGTAAATATTTTATAAAATATTAATATAAACGTTAAAAAAATTAATTATAAAGATTCAAATAAAAAATAATAAAATTATGTTGATACTTTCTTACTTTATATGTATATAATCATTTCATAATATAATATTCGTATCTTACATTAGTAAATGCTTCTAAGGAAAGGCGCACAAACTTGCCCGCTGTAAGTTCTAATTGTCTTTGTGACCGTAATATAATCAATAACATAATACGAGCATTTTGAGGTTTCAATTCATACCAAAGAAAATTATATACAGATTTAGTAATATTTTCACTCTAAAAAGAAATGTATCAATAAAATATATGTTGTATACAGTTGTTTGTTTTACCTTATCTTTTCCATTTCTTACCTTAGAAGTAAGATATTCACCAGTATAACATAAAATAAATGCTTCACAATTAATAGCAATATAATATGGAAAACACTTCATTATTAATACAATTGCTTGATCCGTATGTAAAGACTATTATTAATGAAAGTCATTTATAAATTTATATACTCAATTGTATCAAAATCGTAATTAACCATACTATTATATATTCTACGAATATATTATTAATTGTAAAATTTACTTACGACTGCTAAAATGAAACTTATAAAACAGATTACCAACATATTCAATACAAACTGACATAGCGATATGTAAGTGAAGGTTTTCTCAATATTTTTTGATAATTGTGTAATTCGTTGATGTCTTCTAACCATATCGTTTATTATTTGTTTCTGTGACTTTTCATTCTTGTAATTATTAGAAATTTCTGCTAATTTACAGCAAAATAAATCAATTTGACTACCAACGTGTAATATCTAAAACGTTAAATATCTTCAAATAATTTTTAAAAAATGTCGAATGTATATTAAAAGTACTGTATATTTCACATGTGTAATATATTGAGTATCTATGATAATGATTTATTGTTAGATTTGTTAGAAGACGAAGAAAATGTCATCGTCAAATATGAAATATAAAAGAAATAAAATCAGTTTTAATACATATTAAAATATATAATTGTAATTGTATCGGCATTGAATATACAGGGTGAAACAACTGTAATAAGCAATGTTTTTTTATTTGAAGTTAAAGAAAGAAGATAAAAAATTCAAAATGGACTACATATTAATGATAACATTTTTTTGTGAATGCAACAACACACATGTATTTTGCTTATCTGTTTTGATTATATAGAATATACCTCATTTACTATAGATCGTAGAATTCTTTCAAGATTTTATTTAAAGAAGTAGGGTAATTGAAAAATGACTAACTTAAAAAATATTTTACTTTTAATTCTGTAAAATTTAATATGAAAGAGGAAAAATTTCTGCTTGAGTATAAACAATTATAAAACTTATGTGTATTATAAAATTTGACAATTTTGATCAAATGTATTATAAAATGTGACAATTATAAAATTTATGTGTATTATGGCATTACGATACTCTTTACTTAATTTCGCACGTAGACTAACTTCCTATTAATTATTCTTTTCTGTCGGATTTAGAATTAGTTAAGAATATTTGATAAATTTTCAAACTTAATTTTCTCGAAAACGAAAAAATTTCATTCTTTTCTTTCAATCTATTTTTTTTTTTCATGTAGATTTTCATTTCGTCATTAGATCAATAACATCCTATATGCAAAATGTCATTTAAATTCATTCACGCACAACTGTTTATTACTCGCAAAAATGTTTGAAATAAAAGTTATTCTAAACATACGAAAGACCACTAGATTTATTTACTTTCTTATGATGTATGAATCATATATTTTTTTATACATTAATTTATGTAGTTCTACATTTTCTTTAAAAAATATTAACTTTTGTATGTCGAAAAATTATTAGTTTAAAATATATCTTGTATAATATACCATATGAGAGATGAAGAAAGACAAGAGCAGTGTTTTTATATTCATACTGTCCTTGTTCTTCATCGATATTCAATATAATGCGCTCAGATGTTAATGCATTAATTTATTTCTTTATTTTTAAAAAATACTCTCTCAAACTATAAATTGGGTGTCAGTGATCTGAAAATCTCACACAGTACAAGTGTATGACAAACCTTTGACAAACTTCCAAAATCCTAATTATATTAATAATTTTTAATAATGATCGTAAATCGGATTGATACAAAAATGAAGTATACAGACAATCGCAATAATACGATTTCATGAATGTGATTATAAAAACTGAAGGTATTCATATTTTATATATTATTTTATATATTATATTTACATAGCAGCAGACATTCTCTGTTTTCTCAAGTAAAACTGTTTGCATCAACAAAAATGACGAATTTATATCGTTAATGTGACTTTGAGCTATTTTTCTGATAAATCGAGTATTCGAAGTTTGAACGAAATTCTGAAAACATTCAAAAAAGATAAGTTATTTGATGAATGACAGCAAATAACATGGAATTATCTTGAAATATATTTTTATTATTATTACCTCACCAATATATTAGATCATCAAAGAATCCATCTTAATAAAAACTTACAATTCCTTTTAAAAAAAAACACTTTGAGATCTCAGAAACAGATCTAATGATTATCACAAGAAACCGCTATAAACAGAATAAGTTTTATTTGAAGCAGTTCGAAATATATTTCAAATAATAGTTTAGAAAATAATTTCGATAGATTAAAATGAAATATCTTATATAATTGTAGATCTGGCAATTGATGATAGCAATAAATGCTATTTTATAAGTTAATTTATTATATAACTGCACTTGACCGCAAAATATAAATATATTATAAGTGTTGTTACTATCGTGAATTCAAATTCAATAAAAGTAAGTTCGAAAATAAACTTTTAATAATATTTAATGAAATTTAAAAGAACTTTAATGTTCTTTTCCAAAAGAACGGTTGCAGTATATTTGAATCTTTTATTCTCATATTAAATGAAGACGATGCAATAAAAAACATTTAACCTATTATGGGTTTCATAGTTTACTTTTTATACACCCTGTATATACAATAATTTCCAAACACTTATCTAGGCTTATCTAACTTATTGAATATTTCTTTCTATGTTTTAACATATATAATTTTTTTTATAATCTATATATAAATAAATATTTGTAGTAATTCATTTGTATGTTTTTATGTAAACGTTTATATATCAGTTACAATTTCTTGGATTTCTAATTCAGATTTTGTTATAATTATTTAATGTTTTTTAATGATCTATTCTTGCAGTATATTTTTTATTTTTTATACTAAATATTAGTTTCAAATATAACAATAAAACAAAAAAAGTAGATGTTGGAAGTTTAAATAATATTACAAAAATAATATTATAAAATAGATATTAAAATTTTTCTATTTCTAACAAAATTATTTATTACTAGTTATTTATTTATTACTATTTATTATGTATTAAATATATGTATAATGTACATATAGTACATATAATACATGTACATATAATATTAATATATAATAATATAATATATAATAGTATGTATATTATTTATTGAATATCTGTAAATATTAACAATTTTCTGTCAATTATTCACTATATAGTCCAAAAGTTAATTTAAGTACATTTAGAATATATTTTAAAGTCGATTTTCTTGAGAAGACTTGAGACAAAAAAAATTTGTTTTTTTGACTCATTGTTATATGTACCTATACAGGAAGTAAGAAAATATTTCGTCATGGTGATCATTGATAGATCGTATATTTTTGGATAGATGGAAATTTGTTAAAAATGTTGCCGCAAAATTAACTTTGAATATGATTTTCAAGAACAGATTTTTTTGTTAAATTATATTCTACTGATTATAAGGAGAAAAAGTTTCGAAGGAACCATTGACAACAATTCAAGCATTTTGTTGGAAAAAAATGTTGAAATTGGATGATCTTCAAATTTACCTTATCCATAACCTGTTTATATTCTATGAATATAGGAAAATAGATATCTAAAATCCCTCATTCTGTATCTTGTTCTTAACTTTCTTTCGTTCTTCCGTTTTTCTTTTTTATTCTACTTTAAACAAACTCGAACTTTCCACATTTTACTCAAGATTAATTTTATATAATATTATTATATAATAAAAACATTCACTCTGATGAGATGACTTTGAAATCTCCGAAACTCCTCCATCTATACCTAAAAAAATCCTCCATCTATATACCTCCATAAATTACCTAAAAAAAATCAATTATTATTACTACATTCTTCTTGTACTATGTAATTTTCGTTAACAAAGTTTTTCATGTTTCTAAGAACAATATAGATATTGAAGATGCTCAAAATAGGTGAAACATCTTATATACGGAACATAATTTAATTGCAATTGAAGAGTATCTTTGTATACAACAGAGTAGTTGATATTTTGAATAACTATTATTGTAAATTACTATGACACCGATGATTGTAGATGAAGTTAATAAATTACCTAATCACAATTAAAATTACAATTTTTCACTTTCTTCTTTACATTATTATTACATTTAGTTTGTTCTAAGAATGTGTTAATAGATAAATAATGTATTGATAGATAATAATAAACAAATCTTGACATCATATTGAGTGTAGAAACAGTTATATTAGTGATTTCTTGTGAGATTAATGCTGAGTATATATACTGGATAAAGCTGCTCTTAAACATTTCATGAACAATTTACAAGCCAAGGGAAACTGCATCGTATCCACTGCAAACGTTACTGTTACGCGAACTATTCCCCGACAGTAATATGAACGATATAAGACAATTATCAGCTCAGTGTACGTGCACTCGATTGATTTTCAAATGCATTTTTCTCAAAAACGAAGCCGCCAACATAATTTTATCATGTATAGTTTTCATCTTATTTTGAGCCTCGGAATTGCCCTAACTCAATTTGTACCATGATTTACGCGACAGGATCATTGCCACTTAATCGTTTCCGTCATTTTTGACTTCACAAGAAAGGCAAAATTGCACTACTTTAGAAGCACATCTGCTGAGACTGAAAAAGACTTTTTCTTAACGTTTTTTTTTTTTTTTTATAATACTTCAAGGTCATAAATAATTTTTTAAATGAAATTCTATATTTTGTTATCAATATTTTTATAAGAAACAATAAATGAAATTTAACGACTTCAATTCATTGGAATTATTTAATCTAAAAAAATTTATATTAGTGTTTCCTATTATTAATTTTCAAACCATTATTGGCTTATCTATCTATGATTAAGTTATTCAAAAGCAAACGTTACATCCAATATTTATAAATACACAAAACAGTCACTCAACGACTACTACAGCACAGTTTAATTAGATTAATATCTAAATTAATAAATAATCGAATAATAAATATCGAAATTAATAAATACCTGAAATTAAAATTACATATTTTAGATTCTTCTCCCTCTCCTCGAAATTTCATGTCGGTTAGCCAAAGCCTTTTTTCGTATTTTGTTTAGGTTTTTGTTTTTTGTTGATAAGTAACAACTTCTTCTCATCTCTTTTTTTATATCCTTTATTTCATCCAATACATTCTTCAGCAGATACTTGTAGAATTTTCTGCGTCGAATCTTTTCAATATTTCTATTTCTTTCTTCCTCTTTCACTCGTCATGATTATTTTATTCCCTAACTTATCATCTTCCATATCATCTTTGCCATTCTTTTTTTTTAAATTTTAATCTAATTAATCTAATCTTATTCTTATCTCTAATTTTTAATCACCTTTCCTTGCTGACTTTCCTTCTTTAATGTTATTTCACTATCCTTATTCGTATGTAGGTAATTACTATCTCCTATTTTATTTTACTTTAATTTAATATCTATCTTACGTATCTGTAATTACCAATTTCTTGCATTTGATCGTATGCATTCAGTCCTTTTATCTAAATGCAGGTATTCCCGAACATTCAACTGTTTGAGTTTGCAATATAGATGTCTGCTATTATTTTGCAAAAATTCTGAGTCTTCTGTTAATTGAATTTTTTATCTTAAAAAACAGAAGTCCTAAAATACAAATAATTTTCTGAGCACAAAAATATGTCTGTGACATATTG